TTTTTTTCTGCCGTTATTTTGACATATAAAAGGCTTTGGTATGTTAGAAGGATTTTTTGCTCTTTATAAGCATTTTTTGGGATACAGGTTGGCGCTCCGAAAAGTTGACAGGTATGCAAATGTTTTGCATTTATTTTTAGCTGTATGAAAAGTGGTGTATCGTTTGTTTTATAAATGTCAAGACGCAATTAAAAAGGGAGTGAAATAAAAGAGTAGGGTGACCTTTGAGCCTCAACTGGTGTGGCAAGCTAGTCCAACATTCCGTGGCTCGAGTTGGCAAAATCCCGCCAGCCAATCAGGAGGTGAGGAGGGCTGAGTCGACCCTGACAAACAGAAAGAGAGAGCAGCAGTGTTCACATTTTCATTTTAGTTCTGTACGCACATGAAAAGTATTTAAAAGATAAATAAGGCGTTAAAATTTGACTTGTCACACACAAATTGTTTTGTGTGTGTGTGCATTTCCACTTTTCTGCGGGGAGGGGATATATAATATGTACATCAGGCGAGCCAATTTACATACTCTGCATAGAAATGCACCAAGAAAAAATGTTTATGAATATGAAAAAAAAATAAATCTAATGAGATGAAATTGAAACCCCCCCCAAAGATTAAAAATTCACATTTTAAAAAATTCACAAGAAAAATATCCACAAGTTACTCTTTATTTCTGAATGAATAGTAATTATCGGTCTACATTTCTATAGTAAAAAAGTTCTTGTAAAAAAATATTGGGATTGAACTTTGAGATTTACATTTCGGAATGTAAAACGTTCCAAACAAAACATACAAATTAATGCGCAATTGTTTTTTGATTAAAAAACAAACAAACTTTTTTTTGGTTGTCTTTTGATTAAAAAACAAAAACAAAAAAAAAACAACTCATTTTTTTCCCCCATCCAACCTTATCCTGCATGTTTTTTGGTATACAGTTTGAGGTCATTCCAAAATGCAGCACTCATGAATCACATTTTCAAGTTCGGTGTTACAAAAAGAACACTAAGAGGGGATCAATAGGAACAAAACATGGAACTCACACAAATGACAATCGCATTAGCAAACGTAACCTGACGTAGTACCGGCACTAACCCAAATGTATTTGCTATTTACAAGGACTTATAATAAACTTCAAATATCACAACACGCATACAAAAAAAAACGGTTACAGTTGAAAAAAAAAAAGTGCCCTATTTATGTTGCACAATTTTATTGACATGAGTTATCTGGTCAGGAACTGTCACTCCTCCCTCGCTCGTCTTTCCTTTTCTTTTTCTTCTTCTTGCTGTCATGGTGTTTGTCCGGGGAGCGGGAAACCCTGCGCAGGTTCAGACGGTTAGGATTCATCAAAGACGACTCGGAATTCTCACGTGATGGTAAATCGCAGGAAAACAAACGTCACCTTTTCCTTTTCTTCTTCTTGCTTTCTCTCTCGCGGCTCTTCTCGCGGCTACGGCGGTGTCTGGTACGCGATCGGCGGGACTCCGAGGACAAGGATCGCCGTTCATCCAGCCGACGCCTGCCGGACGCAAATACCAAATGTCCACAAAATGAATACGTGGACCATCACTTTTAGCGTGAAAAGAAGATAAGTAGAACCTTTGGGATGTTCCTTCTCTGGCCTCATCCTGGTCTTCTTTTTCCTTGTCCTCCTCTTCATGCTCATCCTTCCACTGTCTGGCCAGCTCCTCCGAATGGACCTGGATGACTTCTCGGATAACCTGTGAGGCGATGCGATTGTTATAGCCTCATGAAAACAACTTCCGACTACACCCCCTTGGGCGCTCGTACCTCCGTGTAGGACTTCTTGGTGATGTGGACGTTCTTGGCGCGGTAGGACTGCCGCCGCCTCTTGTAGTCCCGCATCTCCGCCATCAGCTCCAGATGCGTCTTTGGCTCATTCTGTTCTTCGGCTGTTCACAAACAGAGTTCTTTGTGTACAAGGATTAAACCTCTTACGGAATGACTTATTTCCAGAGGTGGCAAAAGTACTCACACTCTACTTAAGTAGTAGAAGTACAGATATTTGAGTTTATATATTTAAATAAATAAATAAAAATCTCTGGTAAAAGTAGAAGTACTGATTCGCCAAAAAATTAAAAAAAAAAAACAAGAACAAAATCTGAAACGCACTGAAGTATTATTCTTGTTTCCATAACACAACATGCAGTTCCTAATTTCATTTCAAAACAGTTCCTTGGGACCGCAATGGTCTAAAGCGGTGCTTTGGTGTAAGTGAAGCTCATCAACTCAATTCAATTTAGTTACTTGGCACCAAGATGGCAGAAAAACTTGGCTGTTGTCTAAATGAAGGTCCTTAACTCACGTCAACATACACTCGTTGCCACGAGATGTCTGGGAAAAAAAAAACGTTTTTTTTTAAGCAAACAATGGACGATAAGTTAAAAAAAAAATCTGAATAGAAGAAAATCATCATTCTCCCATTTACAATGAAGATTTTTGAACACCAGAAGCACCTCCCACTGAACATTGGGCAAGCACCATCGCTGTAAACTCATTTGTATTCTTCGACATTTAACTCAGCATGACTCAGATTTGATCTTAGTTTGACTGTTTGGTGGCTTTCCACCATCTTTGTTACTGATTTATTGCTTCATTGTTGTTTATGTTAGTTACTCCATGTATAGCACTTCGTATGCAGCGATGGCTGTTTGAAAGTGCTCGAGAAATACAGTTGAGTTGCTTTGCAGGCTGGCTCAAGTCTATGCATTCGTTGCGTCGTCACCTCTGCATGTTGAAAAAGTAACAAGTCCATTTCTGAAACTGAGGAGTAGAAAGTACCTGTTTTCAAATGCCGGTTGATAAATTTCTTTTTAATGTGGTCAGGCAAGTAACCATTCAAGTATAGATACCCGAAAAATCGACATAGATGCAATAACTAAGTATTTGTATTTCAGCTTCTGTCTCACCCTTCTTTAGCTTGGACACCAGATCTACATAAAGCTCCTCGTTGCCCGAGGCGGCGACGGCCTTCTCTTGGTTGAGGACGCCGATCACGTGGTCGTAAAGCGCCAGCCGGTCGGCCACGGTGAGGTCGCACACGGCTCGCTTGTGGTTCTGCGGCACGTCCACGGGCTGGTAGGAATAATGACCTGATGGATCACCAGAGATCAATTACACAATCACACGCACACACAGATTTTCTCATGGCACACATCTCTCACGGGCGACTAATGTGCAACAGCAAAGTGGGTGGGAATCCCTGGACTTGGTGAAGTGCTGACTCCCTGAGTGAAAATCCAATTTTTATGGCGACTCACTTTAAGGTGGGAGAATTATGGTTAAATGAGCCAGAGTTGAGTTGAGTAGTGGCTTTAAGTGGGCTCTGTTCATTTGCAGAGTCTGCACATTTCTCCAATGAGACCACATAAGGTGGCTAAAATTGCTGTGAATAGATTTTATTTTATTTTATTTTAAAAGCAGTTGCGAAAGGGGCCGGAAGAGTCACTAGTTTGGCAACATTGAGTAGTAAGTATCCCTTGCTTCGTTGCTCGTCGGTGGTTAGAAAGGATATGATTTTGATATAATAATGCACACACAAATGACTATACCCGGTGATGCGGATTGAACACAAAGTGGATAACACACAGGCATAAAAAAAGGTTGTCAAATCTGTATGAGCATGACTCCATCACCAGCATTTTCAGTGCTCTGCTGCCCTCGTGTGGTCACTGGTGGCAAAACAGAGCAGTACCCTTGGTTGGGATTTCAAGGCCGGCCGAAGGTCAAGGTTTGGGAGGTCCATTGATCCGATGACTGACTAGCAGTTAATTTATCAATAAATGAATGCTTTTCAATGGAAAAAAAAATATTCACGAGGATACGAAAGTGAAAGTCTTTGGGTAATTGAGGCTCGCCTGAAGCTTTTTGTAATTGCCTACAAATTCCACAAGATGGTGGCAAAGCACTGCTTAGATATTGGACGGATCTATGGGCTGACCGAATAAAGCTCCTTCCTTCACTTACTACAAAATCGTTCCTTGTCACCAAAGCAATACTTTATTTCGTGAGCCAGACTTCTAAAGGAACCGACCTGCGCTGCTTGGTGGAATCAAGAGTGAAACTATGCTTTTAAGAACCAACAGCTGCAGTTTTGAACAAAACAAGGTCAGTACCTTGCCAGAAGACGCCCTCCATCTTCATGAGCGGGGCAGCAGCTCTGGCCTGAAGGATCACCTGATTCTGAAGGCTTTTGTCTGCGGGAAGACAGCGGCTCATGATAATTACGTCACAAAAAACATTAATATGATCTCCTTAGGGAAGTCATCACTCACCCATTGTAAGGCTGCGGATGCTGGTGTTGATGTAAGATGGGGAAGTGTCACAAATCTCTGCCTGTAAGACAGCAAATGTTATTTTCCAGCATGACAACACAAGTGAAAGTCGAACGAGTAAAATGGCGAAACCTGCTCTTCTGAAGAATAGCCCATCTTGGTAAGATAACATGAAGCTTTGTGTCTCTCCATGCTGCGCACAGGGACACGATGGCCGGGATCGTAGGGACACAGTTCCATTGGCTCCTGGTTTAAAAAAAAAAACGATAAATCACATCACATGAAAAAAAAATATCTAATTAAGAAAATTATTGCTTTCTGGCTAGTACTCCTCTTAGTTGTATCCCTATGGCTGAATTTAGCATGATAGAATCATCTCCTGACATCTGTATTTTGGCCTGTTTGGTGTTTTTTCCCTCAAACCTTCCCTCCTGCTCTTTGAGGGGGCCGAGTGCCGGTGAATGCAGTTTGGTTGCTGTGGTGGTAGAGGATTCAACATCCACCGACTTGGAAAGGTCCAAAGGAGAACCATTTCCGTTGAGGTGTTTACCTGTTTTCATGACATTTTCTATCATCCTGTTTAAATTAACATTGTACAGTTCTATGTATTTTTGGGGGGCGGATGAAGTGGTTAGACCAGAAGATGCCCTTGATATTTGTGAACTGTTGCTTCCTTTGGGGGTTTATAAATCACTTGATATCTCTTTTGTCGATTTAGCTGATACTGTTAAGTTATGTTATGGTTACCTTGTGCTGTTCGTTGTCCTGCGACCATCCCAGTGCGTCGTACATGTCTTGTATCTGCTTCTGGCAATTTTTGGTAAACTCCACTAATTCCTGTAGGCGATCCATTCGCTCCCGCATGGTTGTGATTTTCAAAGACTCCGACATTTCAGTGGCTATAGGTCCAGATATACGCAATCAAAATCATCGATGTTTCGTTCCTACTGCTTTGCTACAAACTCCATATTTCCGAGGAATGACGTCAGAATTTCTTCGTTGTGCGTTTTACAATCATACCGGATTGTTCAGCACGCCATCTACAGGAAAGTTCCTTTATAGGTCAGGTGGTCAGTCTCGGCCAATCAGAATGCCACCTAGTGGATAGGCTATCTTCGAACAAATTGTTATTTTTTCCGTCTTTCGAGACACCTCTTGTCTACCGATTAACATTTTCGACCTTCAAAACTGTTTGGATATTTTGTCGGAGTTGTTAATCAATTGTTTCACCGTGATTCTCTGCTGACACGCCCTCGAATACGAAAAGGCACTCTAGTTTATGATTGGTGGACACTTGTGCGCTGACAAAACCGGAAAATTTTTCAAGAGGAGATAAACTGGTCGAATAACCTTCGTACGCTTTCGATCGTCCGCATTTGAAATCGTCTTCGACAAGGTTAAAAATGGCTTACGCGGGATACGGCGCCGCCCCGGGAGGAATGGTAAGAAGGGCGAGGATTCAAATAAGCGTCGACCAGAAAAATGCTTCGGTCCCGGGCTTGTACGAGTTCTGTGCGTGCGACAGGGGGACGGAAGGAGAAGTGGAGCGAGATTCAATTGATGAAAAAAAACAATGCACAAACTAGAACGTTATTGCACAACTGACTTAATCGATATTTTACCCGTAATCAATCATCTAATTAGCTAGATATGAGCACGAGTCATGCTAGCCTCTACGGAAGTGAAGTATTAATGTTTTAGAAATTTATTTTTTTTCAGCAGGTTTGCACCCATTTACAATTACAAGTTTTACCACATAAGAAATGGTTAATGATTGTAGATTTACTTGCAGCAAGGCGTCAACTTAACTCTTTGATCTTTGGTTTTGTTAAGTGTGGGTTTTTCTTTCCTCCCCATGGATTGAAATGTATATAGGCTACAGGAGTAACAATCGGGCGTCACTAGGCTTCAAGAACAAGGGGGGCTTTAGCCCCAAGGGGAACACGGCCTCTTTAGGGGGGTCCGGGGGCATGCCCCCCCGGGAGAATTTTTTTTATACATTCCATTAAAAATCCATCAATTTCGTGCACTTTGAGAGCAAAATGAAGAGGCTATGAAGAACTACACTCATCACATTAGTATCCTCTTTACTATGATTGGGCTTCCTCCCCTGGACTTTAACTGGACTAGATAATAGAAATTAGAAAGAGTTCAAAAGTTCAATCTTGGTTGTTCAAGGGAATTAGAAGGATGCGCGATAACATAACCTATATGACAGTCGGCCTATATACCTCTCTACCAAAATGTATTAATATATGCTTAGCCCCCAGAAGACTATGTATTTTGAGATGTCTGCCGTGATATGCAATTTAAGTTAGTACAATGAGATGCAAAAGCTTCATCACTTTGGAAAAACACAAGTTTGCTGCTTAATACTTACTGTAAGCTCCGATTGCATTTTGGGAACAGCCTTGCAAGTAAAATTAGCCTTGAGATCTGATAGACTCACCTGTCCAGCAG